ACCAGAGGCATGGAAACATGGAACACACTGATGAATCTCTAAGGGGAGAGGGGAGGAAGAGATTAACCAAAGAATTCATATTGGACACACACGATAAATAGGGTGGTGAGGGCCTGGGGCGGGACTGGATTGTGTTGGAGGCGGACGATGGGGAGGGAAAAGGAGAACATCTGTAATACTCTCAACAATGAAGAGTTGTTGTTTTTTTTAATGAGTGACTCCAAGGTCTTCAGCCTAAGTAACTGGAAGGATGGAGGTGCCATCACTGAAATAGGAAGACTTGAGGGACAAGGTTTTTGGGGGAAGAGCAGAAGCTCAGAGGTGCCGCTAGATAAACAGGTGGAAATTTATATATGTAAATAAGAGTCTGGAGTTTAGTGAAGGGATCAACTCTGGAGTTATAAGTGTGTATGTGGTATTTAAAGCCATTATGAGTCTGGATAAGGTATCTCCTAGGAAGAGAGAGTAGATAGAGAAGTTGTTAGACTATTTTCTTTGTTTACAAGTCAAGGAGTCAGAGACCAGAGAAGGAGTGATCAGTGAAAGAGAAGGGAAACTAGGAGAGTCTGGTACCTGAAATACAAGTGAACAGAGGTGAGTATGATGAACTGTGTTAGCAAGATATTCTAGGTTATCTAAAGAATGAGAATTGACCACTGGATTTAGCAGTATGGAAGAGCAGTTTCAAGTGGAGTAGCGGGGGGTAAAATCTTATCAGAGTGAGTTTAAATGGAAAAAGTGGAGAGAACAAATGTGGCCCACAGAAAGGGCTTTGCCAGGGGTCAGATGGCGAGTTGGGCCAGAGCTTGAGCCAGTTTCTTAACTTTCAGGCCTGTGGGCACTCAGACCTATGGTGCCCTGTCCTAAGTAAGGAAGCCAAAGGTCTCTTTGTAAAAAGTAATTACTTTAGGCTGAGAGCTGGGAAGGGGGCTTGGTATGAGTTCCCCTTCTTGTAATCTGTAACATGATGCCCATTCCAGGCAGTTCTTTCTCTGGTTGCCCTAACGCAGTGGTTCTCAACCTTCCTAATGCCGCGACCCTTTAATACAGTTCCTCATGTTGTGGTGACCCCCAACCATAAAATTATTTTCGTTGCTACTGCATAACTGTAATTTTGCTACTGTTATAAATCGTAATGTAAATATCTGATATGCAGGATGTATTTTCATTGTTCGCGACCCACAGGTTGAGAACCACTGTCCCAATTGTGCAAGCCTGAGGATGCCAACCCTTGAGTTTGGTCTGATTTCTGCTATTCGCAGTTTAACCTCTTACCTTGGTCAAGAGTTACATGCTTACTATTTTTTTTTTAAATATATTTTATTGATTTTTTACAGAGAGGAAGGGAGAGAGATAGAGAGTTAGAAACATCGACGAGAGAGAAACATCGATCAGCCGCCTCCTGCACACCTCCCACGGGGGATGTGCCCGCAACCCAGGTACATGCCCTCGACCGGAATCGAACCCGGGACCCTCCAGTCCGCAGGCCGACGCTCTATCCACTGAGCCAAACCGGTTTCGGCTACATGCTTACTAAAACATCTGTTCTTACTAGTATACTGTCCCAGAGGCCTGGTTATAGCAGAGAAGCCTTTGTAAATGCCTGGGAGAAGTGATAGGCTCCCTCCCCATTCTTAAGTTGGGCTGCAAGGAAGACCCATTTCCATGAGACTAGTGAAGAGACCAGCTAGATCAGGTGGCTCTAGCAGGGTGAGTAGGCCAGCCCAGAGTAGAGTAAGTGAGCATGCTCTTGCCTGCTCATTTCTAGGGCCAGTCAGCAAATGGTAGTCAGGGCCTCCCTGTGAGTGCTGACTTGGCAGTAGACCCCACCTTCCTGGAGCTCATAATATTCCCAGGAAGTTAGTCAGATTATGCTGTGAGAAGGTCTGCACACCCAGCAGGACAGTGCTTCAGTCTGTGAGTTCCATGAGGAGAGTGGTCCATCTGGCTGACATGCTGTTGGTCTCTAGCATCCATCCCACCAAGCCTTGGAACTCCCAGGACCTCAGGCCTGGCCCAGCCTTAGAAGGTTGGCCTATGGAGAGGCATTGAAGTAGTGTCTGAACAAGACACTTGAAGGGCCACCTGGATTCTACTCCCAACCTAGGTTCTCTGCTTAGAGCAGTGGTTCTCAACCTTTTGGCCCTTTAAATACAGTTCCTCATGTTGTGACCCAACCATAAAATTATTTTCGTTGCTACTTCATAACTGTAATGTTGCTACTATTATGAATCGTAATGATGGTCTTAGGCAACCCCTGTGAAAGGGTCGTTCGACTGCCAAAGGGGTCGCAACCCACAGGTTGAGAACCGCTGGTTTAGAGGGATTTTCAGATAATATTTTTTTCCACCTGCAGATCTGCCCACTAGTCCCGTGGACCTGGTGATCAACTGTCTGGATTGTCCCGAGAACGCCTTCTTGCGGGATCAGCCCTGGTACAAGGCAGCTGTGGCTTGGGCCAACCAGAACCGGGCACCAGTACTCAGCATAGATCCTCCAGTGCATGAAGTCGAACAGGGCATTGATGCCAAGTGGTCACTGGCTCTGGGCCTGCCTCTCCCGCTAGGAGAGCATGCGGGACGCGTCTATTTGTGCGACATTGGCATTCCCCAGCAGGTATTCCAGGAGGTGGGGATCAACTACCACTCACCCTTTGGCTGCAAGTTTGTAATCCCACTACACTCTGCCTAGAGGGACTCTGGACAGGCTGGACCCGGTAGTCCCCTGCTGCTCCTGACATTGAACTAGACAACGAATGCCTTAAGAGGATGTGAAGCTTCATGGACCTTATTGTTAAAATTTTCTCTTTTGGATTTGTTTCTCCTGTGAGAGGACAGATCATATATATTTTTTCTTTTGAGAACATGTATTTAAAGCTGACCTGTCACCTGCCCTTCACCAGGAAAGGCTTTCCCACTGGGTGTGTGAGTCAGGTGGCAGGCTGAGTGTGCAATGGCTCCAGGCATTTCTACACTCGGTCCCCTGCATGGCCAGGTCGGGCTTTGTTTACAGACCGTAGGCAGCTTACAAACTGTGTTTCAGGTTTACAGCCACTGGGCCTGGGAGAACGTCTTGCAGGGTTGGGTAGGTCCTGTTTGGGGGCCTGTACTTCCTCTATTTCAGAGCTGGTGGCTTTGTCTCCTCTCTGATCATGTACAGCTGACTGCACTGCAGCTATCCACTAAAGGACAGAGTTGCACTACCCATTCGTTTTGAGGGCTGTGAGGCCTCCCCTAAACCCCACCACAAGTAGATTTGAGGGCTTTTTACCCTTTCTCCTTAGCTGGTCAAGTTTTATGCTGGGATTTTCCCCCAAAGGTCCTTCCTCCTTTCTAAACCACTCTGAGAGGCAAGGAAAAGGGTGGCATCATCACAGGTAATATAAGGTTATGTTACTGTAGAACCACAATGCCCATCTTGCCAGCAGTGCTCCCTAACCCCGTACCCTCTCTAGCTGGGGGCCGGGGGTGAGCATCTGCTTAGTCTGAGGCAAGGCCCCTGGTGCTGAGCCAGTAGAGGCTCTGTGGTGCTTCTGTCCTAGGCCACCTCTTTGCCAGCACATACATAGCCCTACTGTTCCCCCCCCCCCCCCCCCCTGTATCTGTCATCCAAGAGCAGGGCACATGTCCCTCCCTTGTTGGAACCCTTTTTGGTTGTCCAATCTGAATAGGCTTGGGACCAGAGCCTTAATTCAGAGATGCCAAAATGAGGCCAGTTCTGGGTAAGCTAGCTGGTGGGGCTCAGCCATAGAAACACACTGTTGCTCAGATCCTAAGGCACTAAGCCCCTACCAAGCATATCAAACTCACGGCTGGCTTAAATGAGGCATGCGGCCTGCCGGCCTTGAGTTTGACATGTTTGCCCTACCTTCGCAGGCCTAGGCCCTGGGGGCTGATAGGAGCCATGCCCTGGAGTTCCTGGCAACAGTCCTTGCAGAAGACTTGTGCTTTAAAGCCTTTCTCAGGGCTTCAGACTGCCTTATGTTTTGTGCCTACCCAGTCTGATTAAAGGGGTGAGTGGGAAAGCTCACCAAGGATCATGGACACAGGTAGGCAGGCACTGGTTTCAGGCTGCTTATTACTTTCCTATAGGAGCATAGCCAGAAACAAATGAGGCAGGGCAGAGAGGGCTGGTCCCTCTTCTTCCCATCCTTCCACAAATGTTCAATTGTTTCCAGCAGTGGGAGAACAGATTGTCAGCCCTGTGCTGTGTATCCTCCCTTGGCCTCTGCTCACTCTCAGGACCAAGCAGCTCCCAAGATTGGGCCCTCTTTTTAGTCACAGAGCCACACTCTGTGCTGGATTACAGGCATTTTGGTAAGCAATCACTAAGCAGTTCTGGCTGCCTATTAATGTGGTTAGGTCCCTTGACTGGGTACAGTGGAAAATGAGCTAGGACAACCCTGGCCCAAAAGAGCTTGCTCTGGTAAATTGCTGTGGCCTAGGGGGAATGGTCTTGAAGGGCCACTGGGAATTTATGCTCAAGCCTCTTTTTTCTCCCCTGGTGACACTGTGCCCTCAGCTGGGCATTTCCCAGTCAGAGGCATCCTGCCCACAGTGCCCAGTCCCCAAGGAGCCCCAATCAGGTAGTCAAGATTCACTCAAGTAGTTCTTGGGGGACCAAAAACCAGCACTAAAATAAAGCTGAATGACACAGTCCTATGCTCTGGTAAGTTCTGCTCTATAGGCTGCAGGGAGATACTGCCACCGAAGCCCTAGGAGCCCGCCTTGTCCCATGCTTGACAGCCTTCATAAGCCATAGTTTTGGGGCACGTACAGCCAGTAAAACTAGATGCCCCCTGGTGAATTACAGCAGGTCTTTCCCCTTAAAGTCCTTTATGTAAAGGCCAGTGGGAAACAGGTGCAAGGCAGGGCCTATGTGCAGCAGGCTAAAGGCTAAAATTGCCCTTCTGGGCCCAAAGGAACACCCCAGCTTCTGGTCTTTTCACTGGTTGGTCCTGTGCCTGGCCCAGTTCATACTTAGCTCTCCACAAGCTGAACTGCTAAGAAAGACTTTATTAATAAGATGGGGAAGGGAGAAGGCAAGGAGCCTGGAGACGACGCACTGGTACCAGGGGTTACAAACAGTAAGAAACACTTTATTATAACTTTACAACATATAAATAGCTTGGGTCAAATCTGTGCTTTCTGGCAGCTGGGCATGTCTCTGCCCTTGCAGGCACCTGCCTTCCTTCACATTGCACTGTTCATTGGGTGGCTCTGGCCCTGGGGCCCGGTGGTTAGAAGTTGGAGAAAGAGGGCCAGGCAGCCCAGTTCCATCTCCTCATGTAGTGGCCTGTGCCTGTCATCTGCTGGGGTTGCGGCTGGTGTGGAAGGACCGCTCCTCAGGGGTCAGGCCAGCAAAGAAGGGGTGCAGCAGGGCCTCCGCCAGTGTGATGCGCTGGGCAGGGTCAAACTCTAACATCCTCCTCATCAGGTCAAACAGCTGCACGTGCTCCAGGGAGTCTTGGAGCATGTAACTCTGCTCAGGGACACAAAGTATCTCAGTGTGATGGCAGGGGCGTGGCAAGCCTTGCTGCATGAGTTGAGGAGGCAATGATGCCTCCTGGAGGACTGACTGCCCTCTTGGACAGTGAGTGGCTCCATTCTTTTATGCCTGTTAAAGCATTCTGCTCTGAACTTGTCAGGCTACTGGCTGTTTTGCTGGTTTGGTGCCTCTGCCCACACATGCAAAGTCCTGACAGGTAGGTAGAAATCACCTGTCAATGCACCAAATGCAGTTGACAGAGGCTTCCTGGTCATGTCTAGTCTTCCCTCCCCCTCACCTCAGTCCTGCCTAGTTCTTCCCAAAATTGAGAGAAGAGGGGGGCTGGAAGTAGCACGGTCTCTGATACTTGGCTCTTCTGGTGTTCCCCAATTACATTCATAGCCACCCTGTTGGGAAGGGGTAGGGCTAAGAACCCCTTTGGAGCAATTTGAAAGAAGCCCCATTGCCAGCACCCAGCAGCCTCTCATTGTGCCAGGCAAAGGGGCAGCCTTTAGCTGCCTGGCCTGTCTCTCTGCTATATGTGTGCCCAGTGCCTTGGCATGCGTTGACCTGGGGGAAGCCAGAAACTGACCTTCAGAGGTTTGCAGTTCTCCTTCACATACCGGCCATCAGAGCTGTTCTCATCCCAAACCAGGCCCCCTTTGTAAAAATATTTCTGCTTCCTGAAAGGGAAGGAACGGAGGGAATCATTTGTGGGTGTGCGTGGGGAAGATAGCAGGAGGCTGGGGAATGGCAGCAAAGCCAGGCAGGGAGTCCTAATCTGACCCAGCAGGGCAGCAGGTTTGTCAGGTCACTTGGAGGAGCATACAGGGAAAGCTATGAGCCTGGGTGAGCCACAGCATCTTCTGCAAGGACTGTGCAGTAGCTTTTTGACCCACAAGCAAGATGGGAAAGATCTATGGGCCAGGGGTCCTTACCTGGTACGGTGGATCATGTGTGATGGGATGGGCCCTAGGATCTTCTCCATCATCACCAAATGCTCTCGGTTCTCGTGGGTCTATGGAAGGTCGGGGATAGAGCAAGCAGGGTTCAGTACAAGCCTCAGCCCCTCAGGGAGGATAAGAGACAAAAAAGTGCCTTCCCAGTTTCTGTGGCCTTGCAGCAGCCTGTTACCATTTGCCAAGGATAAGGCCATGTTTCTCGCTCTCTCCCAAGAACGCAAACTGCCCCAGCCCATCTCCACACCCTCACTTATGCTGTGCCTCATGCCTCAAATATTCACTCTTTGAGCCCCAACCCTTCATCCTTGATGGCTGAGCTTAAGACTCCCTGAGTGCTTCAGCTATTCTGACCTCTTCCTTTCTCTGATCTATGACTCTCAATCCTGGTGGGCCTCAGATGGTCTTCCCACACCAGGCCCCTGTGGCCTGCTAGAGTATGAGCACCCAGGGTAGCAGGGCAGTATGGGAGGGGCCTTACCTGGAAAAGTGTGAAGCCCCGGTAGTACTCGAAGAGAATGCAGCCAATGCTCCAGACGTCACAGGGCTGTGCCCAGCCCAGCTCTGAAAGTCAAATGGAGAAGCTATGAGGCTCTGTGCTCTCACCCTAGAGGTCACAAGGCAGCTGCCACACTGGTTGACAGGACTCTTGCCCAAACCCCAGTACAGATCCCTTTCTCTGCCAGGCCAAGTTGACAACCATAGTGACTGCTTGCCAGTGGGCGGCAGGCAGGCACACCATTGCCTCTGTTCATTCCCTCCCAGCAAGAGCCCACTTTATCTGGGTTAGGGGCTGTATAGCCACTCACCAAGGATCACCTCAGGTGGGCGGTAATGACGAGTGGCCACAATGGTTGTGTGATGCTCATGGTCAAAGGTAGCACTGCCGAAGTCAGCAACTCGGATGCTGGTGTTCTTCACTGACTTCTCCTCACAGCTCTGAGAGGCAAGGAAGGAGAGCCAGATCAGAACTCTGTCCCAAGGGGTAACCTCGCTCTGCAGTGGGGCCTCACCCTCTCCCCATCAATACCTTGTGCTCATTGTAGAGCGTTTCAAACTCAGAATTCACAAACAGGATGTTCTCTGGCTTCAAGTCTGTGTGGGTCAGTTGGTTCTCATGTAGAACTGGAGAGGCAGGAGAGAGGGGGGAGCGGGCTCTGAGAACCTGGGCTTCTCTGGCTCCTGCCAGCTCTAGGCCAGATCCATCCTCCAAAGCCAGTCTGCCAGAGACCCTCACACCATTACCTCAGCAGTGGGCTGAGGGAACAGACACAGCTCTGCCTCTACACTGGCTTCCCTCTCAAAGATTCTCTGTGCTTGGGGTCTTGGAGGGTTCGAATGCTTGAGAAGATGGGGGGCGGGGGGGCTTTCAATTCAAAACACCTCCTTCCACCTCCCTGCAGGGGCCAGTCCTCCTCAGCCTGGTCTCTCACCAAAGCTACAGCATCAGCCTTGGGGTGGTTCCCTCTCCCCAGCACTAGCTACATCATTTGCGGGGGCTGTTGAGTGAAAATGCAGGTCCCTTTATTAATAAATTAGGTGTCGAGCTGGTGGCAACAGTATTAAACCAAATACAGTAACATCCATGAAGCCAGCCTTGTCTCTTCTCATCCCTAGCCCTAAGCAGGGAATCTTCCTTTTTCCTCCAATCCCTATCCCACCAAACCCTATCCCAGCACTTTCAGACTCCAGCTCCCATCTGGGCACTCAAGACCCTCAGAGCAGTGTGGCCCATCTCTCCCCAACATGGGCCCTTTTTCACGAGAGTGTGTCACCATGTGCTAGATCCAGACCATCACTGAGCTACTTGCCTTGCTTGGAGTGCTCTTCACCATCCCCTCCATCTACACAGTCCCTGTTCTAGGTCTATCTACCTCCTGTCCTGCTCCAACCACCACAAATTCTGCAATGCTGGATGCGGTCAACCAAGTAGGCAGATGGGAAGTAGTAGTGTCCGTGTGGGCAGGAGCTGTGGGTGGATCTCCCAGGTCACCTGGACCTTTTCATCCTTTGCAGGAAGGTGGGAACAGGATTGGTAGCTAGGAAAATTCTAGAGCAGCTCTTTCTTTCCTCCTGAGTGTTTGTGGGCAGAGGCTGGCTCAAAAGGCCCCTAGAGGACCTCTCCATCTGCAGATTCATACCTAAATGCCTTTCAGTCAAGGGGGCCCTGATATGTCCCAGGCTCAGCAGAATGGTTAGCAGTGTGCCCGAGTGAATGGGGAAGAGCAAGACCACCAGGTGACTTTCCTGCCAGGCATGTAGCCACCTCATGCTCCATTTGAGTGTAGATACTTACATCTAAGGGCGTGGCAGAGCTGGTAGGCCATGTGCCGGACATGTGGTAGGGGGTAAGGCTGGAAATTATTCTCCTTCAGGAACTCAAAGGTGTTCTTGCCCAGGAGCTCAAAGGCGATGCACATGTGACCGTGGAAGTTAAACCAGTCAGACATCAAGACGCACAAGCTAGGGGAGAAAGATGGATGGGGCTCAGGCTCTGTGCTGAGGGGGCTGGCTGCCCCACCCCTTCCCTCAGATGAAGCCAGTCCCCACTCCCTCCCAGGCCACTGTGCAGATACACAAAGAGAACCAGTTAACAGCAAGAGTACATCTCCCACCAGCCATCACCCAGATCAGCTCTGAGCAAGGACTAAACTTAATGCTATGAGGGGGGTGGGCTAGGGGGGCATTTTGATTTGAGGTCTCCTGCCTACCTACATAAGATATTGGGCATAATCCCTGCATCTCCAAGAAAGAATGATCCCAGGATACTACTAGCAGTGCCTTTTTCAACTCTCTCAATGGAAATTCCTGAGTCTGTATGCCAAAGGTGGCTCTCCTTTGGGTGTCTGATTAGGTGAGCCCCAGCTTCCAGTTTATATTTTGTCTAACGCTCAGTAAGGCCCACAAATGCAGGGCTGGGAGGCCTGCTTCAGAACTCTAAGCTGGTTGTGGTAAAACCTGGGCTGGAATCCAAAGGCTCCTTCCAGCAAGAATCACTTACCCAACTCCCCTAGTTCTGAATGCACAGAGAAGGCATGATGCCAACCAAGTGAGAGGATACTATTGCTCAGCCCCAGAGGGTCCAGGGAATTAGGGTTAGAGAGGATGCTGTCCCCAGTGAAAGCTTTCCTCACTCCTTGCTGACACTCACAACTTGTTCTCTTTGTCCTTTTCCTTGATTTTTTTGAGAACATTGATTTCTAGTCGGGCAGCCTCCCGGTACTTGCCCACGTTGCGAATGATCTTCAGGGCAACTTGAGACTTCCCTCTGGCATCGGGGAAGGAAGCAGAGGTTCTCATGAAAAGCTGCCCAGCTCTTCCCCCACCTTCCACACCAACCCAGCAACTCTTGGCAGACACCACCCAGTACTTAAGAGACAGGGCCTATCCTGAGGAGAACAGACAACTGACCCAGCCTGTCCCATGCAACATCAGACCTCTACTCTCCTAACAGCACGCTCCTCTAGCACCTTAGGCTTTTATGGTCTCAGCTACCTCCCAGCTCCCCAGGAAAGAGTGGGCAGAGGTGCAGAGGCCTCTCCCACTGACAAACACCAGCCCCAAAGCTCACTCAGTAATAACTCAACCTGTAGGCTAGTCAGCCCCGATCCCTGTCAGGCTGTCTCTTGACCTTCCTAATCACGTCTGCAAAAATGGACAAATGGTTGCCTGGCAAGAGGTAAGGGTGCCCAGAGTAGGGGCCTCTCACTAGGAGGCCAAGGGCTGTTCCCTTTACCACACTCCCTCCAGCCCCACCTGCCTGCCTACCAGCCACAGGTCATTGAGTGTCCAGTGAGAATTTTAACAATTCCTGTTCTGCACCCCCCCAGCCCCACCCTTACCCCCAGAGGTGACTTGTAGGATGACCTACTGAGGCTGGAACAGCCAGAATTCAGATGCTGAGTGGGGAACGAGCAATCAGCTCTCCTGCAAGGGTGTAGCCTCTGAGACCTCTAGGAGGCTTACCTTGGTAACTTAGGAAAGGCTCACAGGCCCCAGAGAAGAGGTATCTTCTAGAGCAGGGGTGGGGAACCTTTTTTCTGCCAAGGGCCATTTGGATATTTATAACATCACTGGCAGGCCATACAAAATTATCAACTTAAACATTAGCCTGCTATATTTGGTCAAACATTTAATTAACTTACCCTTAATGCCTTGAGAGGGCCAGACCAAATGATTTCACGGGCTTCATACAGCCCAAGGGTCAGATATTCCCCACCCTGCTTTTCTCTCCCTATCTCATTTTCTCAGATTTTCAAGACAGGAAAGGACCTCATAGGAATGGCCACCAGCCTCCTCCTAGAACAGGATCTCCTGATGGCATTCCAACCTTTAACACAGGGAGGCTGCCTGTGGAAGGATTCAGGGTTCAAAGGCCCTTTTCCTGAGCTGAATTCTACCTCTTCACCACCCCACTGGCTGATTCCCTTTGAGTCCCTTGAAGGACCCTGAGCCCTGCCCCATAATGACTCCAGAAGTTAATTTTCCCTCTAGCTACTCAGAGTGGCACAGCCCAGAGAGCTTAGCTGCCACCATGTGCCACATCTCTCAGATCTGCCAGTTCTCTCTCTGGTCACAGTATAGTTTACATGACCCTATGCTCACTAATCCCAACCCTAACCTCTTGGGTCCAAGGTGTTTAAACTAGAACTGGGAGGCTTCCTTTCAGTCACCGTCACTATCTTATCTTGGGGCTCCATGACCAGCTGGACTGCTGAGACTAACTGTCCCCTCCAAGCACCGCTCTGAATGAGGGAGCACTGCCCCACCACAAGAGCTAAGGAATGTGGGCAACCCCTGAGCATGTTTCTTCATCTCTAAAACAGTAGAAGAATCATGTATGGGCAGCACATGGCTCAACTGAGACAGCTAGGATAAGCACTTTGCAGCTACAGCTCACCTGGCATGGTCCAAGCACTCCACCACCTTGCCAAAGGTACCTTCGCCCAGGTTCCCCACAATCTCATCTAGGAGAGAAAAGAAGCAGGGCGTGAGGGACTGGCGGGCAGAAGGTCGGCAGCTCCTGCAAGTTCACAGCATTCAAATTCTCAAAAACAAAAAAGGTTTCTCTCTCACTGCTACACTCTTAAAAACAGAAGTTGCTAGTGTTTGTGTCATTCAGGCAATTACTGGTGGCCCCACTAAGGCACCACGCGCACTAGAGGCCCCTCCGGGCAGGAGAGGTCTGGTCTAACAAGGGGGTAGAAAGTAGAGAGGTAAAGTTTTACGAAAGGTGGCTGTACATCGCTCTTGGAGCCAATCGCCGATCCGGCACACCAGGTGGCCCTCCTTGTCATCTTCCACACTCCGGCTGCTGCGCTTACTGCTCTGTTGGCTTCTCTGCATGCACCGCCCCCCGAAACGCCATCCGACCAATCGCATGGTAGGCGGTTCCGATTGACAGATTGAGGTGTCAGTCAAAGGCAGAGGTGGAGACGGTGAGGAGCCGGTGGGTTGGTTGGTTGGATTTTCCAGATCCCAGCATTTCATAAGGCACACAGCATATATAACGATAGGGATATTGCAAGGGACACGTCAAGACACAAACTGACTTCAAAAACAGAAAAGTAAAAACAGCTACAGGTATGTAAAGACAACTTGGACGCTCAGAAAGATGACCAGCCTCTGCTGCTGAGGGGCCGGGCCATGTGGAAAGCCACAGCCTTGACACCCTTCTCTACTAAGTGTTCCCCTCCCAGACCCTCCCAGTATGCTTCGGCCAGGGTGGAGACGCAGTGAAAACGGCGCAAGAGTGTGGCTGTCCCAAGCCTTGGTCCATCATCCAGAATGGTCGGAAGCCACGCTGGCTTCAGCTGCAGAATGCCCAGCCTGTCTCTGCCTGCCTCTCTCTTGCCCACACAGCCCTGCACATACTCAACAGCTGCCACTCAGAGCCAAGCTACTACAGGCCTCCAGACAGCATCCATGGCCAGACTTAACATCATCACCAGATACGGCCTTCATTAGCAACCTTTTTACCACCAACCTCAAACAGGGAAGGAGCCAGGGATTCTCTGGGCTGGTCAACCTCCAGCCCTCCTACCATGATGGCCCACACAGGCCCCAAGCCAGCTCCTGCCATGGCACCCATGCTATTCATAGGCCAGGCACATCCTGAGCCTCATGACAATAGAGGGCACCAAAAGAGACACAGAGCCACAGATCTGCACTGCCCTCCTGTGGCAGTGTGTGGCAGTGTGCAAAGAGGCCACCAGGCCATGATTGGGTGCACACATCAACCTGCAACCCATGGCCAAAGTAGTCACCAGAGAGCTCAGCAGAAAAGATGCCTGGCCCCTCCATTGGTTCCGCCACTACTCCTCAGGGGCCTCATGGCTGGCAAAAGGGAGTGAGGGAGGGAAGGGGGGAGGGGGAGAAGACAGCACATAACCTTGGAGACACACAACAGGCTTTCCTTCCCAGAGGTGTGATTACAGTGTGGGCTCCTGGTCTCAGCAGAGATCTATACAACCTTGCACACTAGAAACACCACCAGGCCCTGTTCCTGGCAACTGGCCTGCAACTGGACAAGGCCTAGGGCTGTAGGCCTTTCTGTCATTTCTTTACATGTCCCATCACACAGGCAGCTCATCCCTCATCTTGACTGCCTCTCATGCGAAGAGGCTAGGCCAGTGATGGCGAACCTTTTGAGCTCGGCGTGTCAGCATTTTGAAAAACCCTAACTTAATTCTGGTGCCGTGTCACATATAGAAATTTTTTGATATTTGCAACCATAGTAAAACACAGACTTATATTTTTGATATTTATTTTATATATTTAAATGCCATTTAACAAAGAAAAATAAACCAAAAAAATGAGTTCGCGTGTCACCTCTGACACGCGTGTCATAGGTTCGCCATCACTGGGCTAGGCTGAAGGCCTGGCTGGAGGTCAGAAGGGAAGCTCCAGCCTGAGCTGATAAGAAGACCCTCCCCTACCCGTAGGCACTCCAGCCTCCGGGCCTTTGGGGAGGGGCGTGGAAGTGAGACTGCAGAAGCTGGTACAATCCACACCAGTCAGAGCACTGAGCTGTGTGGAGGCAATCTCTCAGTGGGAAGGACCAGGCCATACAGCTCCAGACCACACACCAGCAATCCTGTTAGGATCTCTAAGAGGTATCCCTGGCCACTTGCACCCAAGCAGCCTGAACCTGGGGCAATGTGGAGACAAGACAGGCCAGGAGCCTGCCAGCGCCGCAACCAGAGCCCCTTCAGCTGACACCGCCAATGGGCCAGAAGATAGAGAAGCCAGGCCCTTTGCTCAGCCCTGTACCTAAAGCAGACGACACACACAAACACACGCACGCACACACACCAAATGCACGTGTGCAGGGCTAGCAGTACTCACCCAGACCAGCCAACCTGAGAAAAGGCTACGGACAGATGAGGCCTTAAAGCCCCAGCAAGCACACTCTGGCCACCACTCACCGAGGAGGCACTGCTACAAGACCTGGTGCGGCGTTTGTGGCAATGGTGGGCATGTTTGCGAGTCCGGTACGGCTCTCTATCCCTGGACCGTCGACGATGATGGGAACGTGAAGATCCATAGTAGTCCTCTCCAAAAGATGGGCTCCGCTCTTCACATCGATATGTGTCGCTATCACGGCGCTCCCGGTACCGCCTCTGGTAGGGTAAGCGGTCATGGCTGCCAACAGGGTGATGGGGACATTGGTCAGATAGGGCCCTTCCTCCCATCAGCCAGGTTCCTGCTATAAGGCAAGAGGTATGTGGTGAGGCCCCTGCAAAAGACTCATAAGGGTAGCCTGTTGGAGCAGAGGCAGTGAGACTGAGGGAAGTGGGGGAGGGGGAGTATATGTATACGAAGTCCAACCTCCAGAACCTGAGCTACTGACGGCATCCCTTCAGTGGCACAGGAGGCAGAGCGCTGGGGAGTGATCACAGCATCAGAACTCCCTGTGGCCTGCTGAGGCTATAATTTTGGTCTGGGGTTGAGATAGGACTAGGGGCCAACCTCTGGAAAGAACTAAAGTTGTTTCTAATCCCCACTGAGGAAGGCTCAGAGGTTGGCAGGAGAGATGCTGGCCTAGCCTAGAAAATGGAGTGTGTGCCAGGAAAAGAAGTCTCAAGGACAGAGAAAGAAGGGGCAGCAAGAATGGAAGCAAACACTGAGGCCAGGGAATGCAGCTGAAATCAGGGAGGAATCCAAAGAGGACAGGGCAGTGATCTAGGTGCAGCCAAGCAGAGGCAGCAGTCACTTGAAGGAGCCCAGGGCTGCCACAAGCCTCCACTGTCTCCCAGGCCCAGATGAGGGAAGGAGCCCTTCCTTTTGACCCAGTTCTCTCTCACCTTCTGGACCGAGATCTCCGGGGTGGAGGCTCCCTTCGAGATGGGTATCGCAGTCTCCCTTCGTGCTCCCGACTGTAAGACCTCCTTCTCTTCCATCGGTAGCTCAGGTATGGGTCTGGCTCAGGGGAGCGGTATCGCTTACAGTGATGCATCTAGGCCACAAGAAATGGACAGCCCTGCTAAACATGCAGCCAGCCACCTGGTTGCCTGAGCAGCCTAGGCACTCCTGAAGAAGAGGTCCATTGTTCCATTTGAGGCAGCCCCTCCAGGGGTTTATGAAGTGAAAAAGAACTCTGAGGTCACAGTGGTCAAAGAGCGGACAATAGAACAAACAAATGAACAAACAAAAAGCTGCCTCCCCAGCACAGCATCACTGATTGGCCTGATGGCCTGAGCACTTGGGGAACCAGGTGAGCCAGAACAGGTGCTGAGATGGAACACAGGGCGGGGTTGGTAAACACCATCCATCACAAGAGACAGGGAGAAAGGGAAGCCTCCTATGCTCAATTCCCTCTTGCCTTACTGTGGGGTCCTACGAAGCACCTGCTCTGTCAAGCCAGAGTCAGATGGCAGTTGGCAGGGTGCCAACACGTAGGAGCCAAGGGTGAAAGTGCTCAAGTTGAACAGCCTGTGGAGGCCCTGAATTGGACCCCACTCAAAGAAGCAAGGACACAAGTTGTATGAGGAGCTACAGGCAGAAACAAGACCAGCTTTTGGAGGAAAAGGTGTACAAGGGTCTCACAAACATTCCCTAGCCCACCTGAGGGTCTGGCCCAGCAGATATGGTGGTCTGGCCAGCCCTTGCTGGTCCATACTCAGGATCAGCACCAGTAAAGATGCTAAGACAGAGCACCCAAGTGTTTTGCCCAACACCCATTCAGCACCATCCAGATACCTTCAGTGCCATACTGGGCAATGCTTCACCTCTAGCCAACAGTACTGTCCCTCTTCTAGATCCTCTGCTCTAGAACCTTTCTCCTGCGCCCATCTCAGGCTGATGTGCTCGAGGCAGGCCAAAAGTGCCCACATCACTATCCTTGCTCAGCAAGGACCAATATCCACTATAGGAAATTGCCAGGCTGTATCAGCCACCAGCGGAGAAAGATAGCTATGTGAGGCCAGCTCCCTATTCCACCCACCCCAAAAACTCTGACATTGCTTGCCTCCATGGGAAGGCTGGGCCAGAGACCATGGCCACCCTGACTCCCAACCCTTCACTTGGACATAGCCAACCTCCAAAGGTGGTCAGTCTTGGGTTTGCCTGACCAAGCACATTTTGGACAAACTCACTGAGACTGCCCCATCTCATGAGAAGTCTGTCAGGAAAAGAGCAAAATGGAATGCGCAGAGCAGCAAGGCATATCTGACAAAACTCCTGGGAGCTTCTCTGTGATCCTAAGAAAGTCTCTGCCCTCAGTCACCCATGAGCAGGTATCTTCCCGTCTACCTGGAAGTCCAGGTCCCAGCAATCCTTGGAGGTAAATACTATGTAAAATTACTCATAGCTCCTCAAGTACTTAGAATGTTGTTCTGTTTTGATGATCAACTGACTAATGTTTCACTGTCTTCCTGCAATTACCCTGGGTCAGGTGCCCAAGCTATGAAATGAAGACGGTATCTCACATCTCACTAAGTGACACAGATAATGCTCCAGTGGCAAGGATAGATGCCCTGCCCATCCTCACTGGGCAGACAAAGCACCAGAGTTGGAGGCCATGGTCTAGTCCACATCAAGCCAAAGACTCCCTCCTGGGACCTAGACGATTCTTAAGTCAACACATGTTCATGTTAGAGGAAAGAGCACAGCTTCAGTGTCAGATGTCAATCTGAATCTTGGCACTGCCACTTCTATATGTGTGCCTTTAGGCAAGTTATTAAACTACTGACCTTCAGCTTCCTCTGGCAGCTAGGGTAATCTTACAGGGTTCTGTGAGGATTACATTACGTCATCCCTTTACTAAGATGCCTAGCATATCTTTTTAGGTCAAATGCCTAACCCAAGTCTGTGCCCACAAGAGGCACTGAAGGCAGTTCTTCATTAATGTTAAAAAGGTTCCAGGTAGCCCAGCTGGCATGGTTCAGTGGTTGAGCGTCAACCTACCAGGAGGTCAGAGTTCAATTCCCAGGCAGGGCACATGCCTGGGTTGCAGGCTCAATGGGGGTGGGGGGGGGGACGGGGGGACGGGTGTGCAGGAGGCAGCCAATCAGTGATTCTCTCTCATCATTGATGTTCTTGTCTCTCTCTGCTTCTTCCTTCCTCTCTGAAATTATATATATATGTATAAAAGATTCCAGGTAACACCAAAGTCGGTGTTAAATGCCTTAAGGGCATTTTATAAGTCTCTTCCAAGGGACCATGGGGGGAGAGCTCTGGGTAGAAAACCCTACAGTGCTGGCCTCCTGACCAAGCCACTCTAGGTCATTTACTATACCTGGAAAATGCAGATAACATCTCCCAGCCAACTTGGCAAAGGAGATGACAAGCTATAAAGTACTTCACATAAGGCAATCATAGAGGAAATAACCTCTCCTTCAACACATTCTAGGCAGGTAAGTACTAGGTCTATCTAGTGCCCCTCATTATATTTCCAGCCAGGGCTTTAGGGCCCATTTCTCTTCAATTATCTCTTTCTGAAACCCCAGCAAACAGGTTATTTAAAGAATCTAAGGGCCACAATCATGCTCAAGAAGACTCTGCTCTACACAATGAAGGAAACCAGGCGGAGATGCCAGCTTTTCTCTGAGCACAGACCTAGTCGGCTTCTCATTTGCTCTCCTGGCCAGTGAACTGGGCTGACAAGAGCAGCCAGCCAGGTCAGCGGCTGCCCTCCCGGATCCAGCCACCCCAGTGCCCCACGGTTATTTTTGGCTGACGCTGCTCCACCACTGCAATTTCAAACCCGCCACCTTGCAAGCCGCCACCGAGTGAAACACTCCTTTTCAAGGGCATGGAGGAGGGAAGCTGGACGGCCGCCAACTCCACCGCGTCAAGGGGCCTGGCTCAGGCAACTCCCACCCCAGCTCCACACCAGAGCACCCGCACCCGGAACTACAGCACAGACGCCCGGACGGGGCAGCTCCGGCACTGGTACTGTCAGCTGGGCCTAGCCCCTCCCCCGGGCTGGAGCGGCTCCATCAACACAATAAAACACGCGGGAGCCTGTGGCCCTCGCTCGCGGCCCTTCCTGCCGCCCCGGGTCCCAGAGATCTCAAAGCTTCGTCCCCCGTAACCGCCGCCCACGGCGGCGAGGCAAAGACCGGGGCGGGCGGAGGAACGCCAGCCTGGGTCGGAATCAAACTCCAGGCCGCGAGGGGAGGAGAGTGGGACCCAGCCTCGAGCCGGGGGTAGGGGAGGGACCTGAAAGCCCCTCCAGGTGAGTCTAGGTAGCAACCGACCCCATTCCGCGGACAGTTGCAGGGCCAAAACGGAATCCCTTCAGGGGCCTCAGAGGCCGCTCAGGCTCGGACTCCAACACCGCGGAAACGAGAGGTCGGGGTCTATGGTGACCGCCCCCCGGGGGAAAAGCGGCGGGTCAGGGGTGAGAGGTCGGGGACCCGGGGCGTCAGGACTCCGGGCCTGCGGTGGCCAAGGAGAAGAAGGAGCAGGCCGACACCAGCCCGGGCACCCAGGGACCCGCATCCGGCGAGACCATCGCGCTGCGGTGGGTCTGGGACCACACTTACCGTCTCCCAGGCTCCGGCGGCGACTAGGCCCCACTTCCCGCTCCCAGCGCCTCTTCCGCTTCCGGCCCCAGCCTCCGCCCGCGGCGGGCCCGCCCCTCCGGTGACGCAGCTGTCGCCAGCCCCAGCTCGCTAGCCTGGCTGCTCTAGCTCCCGACTCGAAGGCTCTGGAGGACCCGCCTTCTCCGCCCGGGTCCGTGCGAAGTCGGTAGAGACTGGTTCCGAGAAAGCCTAAGGGCATCCCCGGCCCGCCCCCTGCCGTGTCGCGATGCACGTAGGCTTCCGAGACTTGGTGAGGGAGCCGTCCCTGGCCAGCGGGCGCTCGGAGCCGAAAGGTGGAGCCACGACTTGGACCCAGGGCTCAGCCCGCTCGGCCGCCCCGACCCCGACGGCGCACGCCCAGCTCGCGCGCAGGAAGGCATTGTTACGCCGTCGCCTCCGTGAAGACCCGGCGAGCTCCGAGGCCCGGGAAGGCAGTCGTAACTCCCGCTTACATGAAGGAAGCAACGAGACCACATTCTTTTTGGGGGGTGGGGGCAGTGGCAGCACGCCCAGTGCCCGTAGGCCCGCCGAGAAGTGTTATGGGGAGACGCCCAGGACCCCAGAGGCGGGCCGCCGGCGAAGGAGGCTCTCCCGCGAGCAACGCAGCAGGTTCGAGCCTTGTTTCTCTGGCATAGACCCCGCGCCCCGCCGCAGTCAGGCCCCACTGGCCATTTCTCTTCCGAGTCACTCGACGACCCCGGGAACAACAAAACCCTCCCACCCACTGCCCCGCGCTTGGTCCGGTGGGATAACGAGGCCCTGTTTCCCAGAATAGAAAACCCTAGGTCGAGCCCTTTGAGAGACCTCGTGGTTTGTGAGCGTGCACTCCCCACGGCTCCGCAGGCGCGGTTCAGCCGCTCGGACCCAGAGGGGTCCTAATTGCTCCCCGCCGGGCCAGGGCGGCGGCGGGAGAAGCGAAACGTCCCTCCGGCCCCGCCCCTCCCGGAGTGCGGGGCCTGGGTAGCCGGTTCCTCCGGCCCCGCCCACGCCACGCCCCTCCCGGCGCCCAGGGTTTCCCGGCCCCGCAGGCGCGGTCCGAGCGGAGCCATCCCCTCCCGAGTGGCGGAGGCCACTCAAGTCTTAGGTCTCTGGCTCCCCCTTAAACGGCCCTGACGGTGTGGCTTGAGGAGCTGCCCAATTCTCCGCCAGCTCCACCATTTTCAGCCGAAGCTAAGTAAAAACGGGATGCGTTAAGGCACCCTCAAGATCGGTTCCTAGTCCCCTGCCAACCAAATGCACCCACCCCCCAATAGAGCGTTCTGGGGCCTTTTCAAGTGTCAGAGACGACCAAGCCCGGATGTCCCGGTCCCTAGATGCCCTCCCCCACCCCTACCCCCCTTAGCATGGCCTCCGGGGCCAGAGATTGAGTTGCCAATTTTTGCTGGGACCCAATGCTTGGCCTGCGGTCGCGTCCATGCCACCATTTCAACCATTGAGACGAGGTTGGGAGGACTCTGTGGTGTCCCCTCCTCCCACCGCTTAGTGTTGCCACGGTTTCCATGGCTCCTGGAAGCCAGGGCCTGGTAGGTGGCTGAGAGCAGAGGCTCTCAGGCTCCTATCCAGGGCGCTAAGTTCTAAGGGGTAAGTCGGGTCCACCTTCCTACCAGCTCTCCCACCATCCACCATGGAGAACCCAGAAGTCCTAGCCTCCTAGTAACAAAACAGCTCTTTCTTTTTCTTAAGTAGAATAGGAGCAGTCTCCCTCGCCAAAGCCTGCAGTCCAACCGCTATGCCTGAGATTCTACCATTTAGGATTTCTCATTCCTAAAAGAAAGCCTGAGAAGAGACCTGGTATCCTGGACTGAATGTACCTGCAGGAGACGCTGGAGCCAGGCCTGCAGGGCCAGGCGCAGAGCTGGGATGGAAAAGGGAGTCTCCATGGGGCCAGCTGAGACCCCCTGCCCAGGCTCACTACACAACCTTACGCAGGAGTGGCTGCTGAAGCTCACCAGGAATGGGTCAAGCAGCTGGCAGGGTCAGCCCCATAGGAAACCCAGGGCACCAACTGAGCCAGGCTGTGCCCACCTGTGCCAGGAACAGAGATGCAGGGGAGCCTGGGCACTGTCCTTGGGGGATTCCAAAGTTGGGTGAGGGACTCTAGGGACACCATAGTAAAGAGAATAACCAAGAGGGACAGATTAGAGCAGGGCCTCCATACAGCACATTCACATTGTAGTCTGGGTGGGAGCCCTGCTTTCACATTGGGTGAGGTGGCCCTGTGAGCATGAGGTAAGCCAGCCTCTGTCACCAAACCCTGAAACATGCCCAAAGCCAGACAGACCCCCTTCCCCAAGTATTAGCACTCCTGTTTGTCACAGTCTGGCTTTTTATGGGAGCATTTGAGCATTTCAGCTTCAACAAGCCCTGTCTCCACTACACATGGCTGAGCCCCTCCTGCTGGCCCAGGGCCAGCCTGGGGGGACTTGAATAACCTTATCTACCAGGCTCCTGTCAGGATGCTGAGGAGTGGAAGTGCCAGGGCAGAGAGTTCTGTGTGTGCAAGGAGCTGTGAAAGAGGCATCTCTGCCCCAGTCCCCATCCCAACCAACAAGACATAGTGTGACATCCATGCAACTTGGAAGGAAATCATTGAGAATGGGGTAAGGCGATCTAGGGTCCAGGCTGTGTCCATATTGCTCTGCTTCTACTAGCATACTTCAGGTCCAGGAGGTACAGTGCCTCTTAGTGAAGAGTTTCAGAAGGTGGCTGAGTATTGGAAAGCAGATGGGGGAGGTGGTAGTTGCATTGAAATTTAAAGAGGAGGAACTGCAGAGACTCCAGAAACATAATGAGGACTGGCTTCCCCAGGTGAATGCTCCTCCTTCCTCTCCCCTCAACCCCTTCTTCCCCATGCTCTTCCCCACTGCCCTGTCTTTTCTGCAAGCCAATTAGTCTCCCTCCTCCTTAGGATGCTTTATCCTACACTTCCTCCCCTTCTTCTGCCCCTTTCTCATTATGTTCTGAAAGGACAAAACAGGACTGACTCCATTTTATACTGCGTCCTCCATCTTGTATAGCTGTGTCCCTGACCCCTCTTCCAAGAAGAAAAACACAGAATGTGTCAGTTACCCAGCCCGCCCTTGAATCAGCCAATGGGAATGCAATGGGAACTAACCTAAGGCCAAAAGTATGCTGACCACCCCCTGTCTTTGTGTAACCAGACCCTAGCCACACCCTGCCTTTGCGTCACTAGCCCCTAGCCCTCACCCAACCAATTAGAATTGGCCACCAAGTATGCCCCCACCTCCCGATCCCAAGCCCTATAAAATCTTTGTTCTCTTGAGACTCGGGGCTCTCTCGCATCCTGCCGCTGCGTCGGTAGAAGCAGAGGGACCGAGCTCGAGCTTGAATAAAGGCTCTTTGCTTTTGCATCGGACTCGGCTCCCTGGTGTGGTCTTTGGGATCTTGAAATCTGGGTGTAACAGTTCCATCATCCATTCATTTAGTCACTGAGCATCTACTATGCCTGGCCCTCTTCTGTGCAGGGGAGAAAAAAATTCAGGTCAGAACATGCCCTATCCCCAAGCTTATGGTTTGGGGCCACACAGTCATCAAGCTGGCAATTACAATTTAAGTGCCTAATGAGGAGAGGCACAAGGGGGCAGCAGATAGGAAGGTCCTCCCCATATTGAGGGTTTCTGGGCCTCTGAACTTTAATGAAAGATGAACAGGAGCATTTTCCAGGAGTGAAGGAACAAAGCTTTTACCAAGGCCCACAGAGGAGAGACATGGAGGTGGGGATGTATATAGTCCCTGAACCAAACGAGAAGTAGAGTGGGTGAGGGGGTTACTGTGAAATGTAGGACAGGGGCCAGAGCAAGGGCTTAAATGTCCCAGGCCCTGTCCACCTGACTTGAACTCCAGCTTAGTGACTGCCACTCCTGGCCAGTAACCTCTCCTAGTCTCCTGGGCAAATATTTATGTGCACAGGCAGACAGACATATGGACACACATCCAGAGACACAGAGAAACACACCAAGGAGATGGCTTGGAGTCACAGGGATGGAGAGTTGTAGGAACTCAGGATGGAATCCTGCTGTGCTGCAGGAACCCCTACTGAAGCAAATCTATTGATCTGGCTGGAAAGGGTGGGGGAGGGGGGGTCTCAGCAGCAGTGCCTTGCTGGCCTTGAGCCTTACAAAAGGTGGAATTGGTCTAAATCAATTTATCTCAAACTGGGGTCTCTGAGAAGGCTGTTAGCTCCTCAAGAAAGCCTGCAACTACACATTTGTAAGAAACAAAATCTTGGTTTTTGTATTTCTCAACACATACCCTTGAGGATTGTAGATTGTCTTCCTAGGGTCTAGATGGACTATTTTTATGGGGTGTGCATGCTGGTTAAGTTGGGGGCCTACAGTGGACAATGTCAGTGAGAAGGCAGGGCACACAGTAACCTAGGGCTGCGCATTCAGACTCCTGGAAGCAAATGGCACCAAGTGAGTCCTATACAAACAACACCCCAAACCAATGCCAACTCAGGCCCCAACTCTAGGGCCTTCTTGTCCCTTAGGGACTGCCCAGGTAATTTCTCCCCTCTCCCTAGCCCGAGGGATGCCCTTCTAGGGCTCACCTTCTGTGAGCAAGTGGGTACTTCCAGGCCCTGGGCCTGTCCAGGGAGGGTGACTTAAAATTCGACCCTGGGTCATGGGCAGGGGCCTATGGGGAGTGGCTGATGGGAAGAGGTTCTCAGAGAGATGGGGCAGCAGCTGGATAGGGTCTGGATGCTGCTTCATCAGACTGGTGGGAGGGGCTCCCAAGGCCTCCAGCATGCTCCACCTCCAGTCCCATCCCCAACCTCCAGCTCCTTCCACTCTGACACTTTTTGTGTCTCTACCTCAGTCTGTCTTCCTCATCATTCCCAGGATTCTATGGTCTTCACTGTCCCCAAATTAGTGGTTGAGACTATGGGTTCAAGGAGTGGGTTGGGAGGCTGAAAGAAAAAGGTAAAGGGATTAAGACGTACAAATTGCCATTTATATAAATGGTCATGGGGATGTAAAGCACAGCATATGAAATATAGTCAATACTATTATAATAACTACTAGTGGCCCAGTGCACAAATTCGTACACATTGAAAGGAAATTAATTAGAAGAAATATTTTAATATCGCTATTTGCCCTTTCTCTATAATAGAAGTATCAACCAAATTCACGATTGACAATGACAGATCAAAACACACACGTGCGACTGATGCCAGCGAGAGCTTCATATGTATCGCGCATGCACAAGTCAATTTGGCCTTTTATATATATATAGAATAAACTTGCTTAATTAGACCTGCTTTCTGATTTAGCTAAACTTTTTCAAGCCCAGTGAAGCACCCCAACTTCTCTTTCAGGTAACTGTCAGCAACACAGCAGTAAATAACAACATGAGGCAGATTATTATTGTAGATCATGCAGGGAGAGCAAAGGGTAAAATATTTAACTACAGCAGTGTTTAACTATATTCTGTGCAGTGAGAAACCTGAAGTCATTTTCTTTTTTAAATATATTTTTATTGGCTTCAGAGAGGAAGGGAGAGGGAGAGAGGTAGAAACATCAATGATGAGAGAGAATCATTCATTGATTGGCTGTTTTCTGCACTCCCCCTACTGGGGGTCAAGCCTGCAACCCAGGCATATCGAACCCAGGACCTTTCAGTCCACAGGCTGACGCTCTATCCACTGAGCCAAACCCAGGTAGGGCTTGCTGAAGTCATTTTCAAGGTCTGCTATTTCTTACTTCTTTACAGTCGGGTCAAGTTTCTAAGCTTTCTAAATCTCCGTTTTCCAGCTAATGAAAAGAAAATAGGATTCCACCGACTCTCCTACCTACCTACTCCAGGACTTCTGTGAGGATCAAATGAGATGAGGCACGGGAAAACGCTTCACAGACATTTGGTTAAATTGTAAAATGTTTGCACTTGACTATAAAGCAAGTCGTGGTCCTAGGCTGAAGAAACTGCAAGGAGGCTAGTCACTAGGGAGAGGAAGAGAGGTAGAAACATCAATGATGAGAATCATTCATTGATCGGCTGCCTTCTGCACTCCCCCTACTGGGGGTCAAGCCTGCAACCCAGGCATATGCCCTTGACTGGCATTGCTATGTGATGTCATTACCTGGTGCCCACAGCAACCATTTTCAGGCTGGGCTGGGCTGTGGGCTGCATTTTGCACTATGGGGTCTCAGCAGCCTTGGCTGCAATTTGGTGGGCTGTTGCTCCGGGGTGGTTACGGGGCCTGTGTCCCACTTAGGGGAAGCTGAGTGTTGCTTGGTCGGCACCAGGTACATGGTGCTGTTTCTTTTTAAGTGGCCAGTTTGCATCACGGCAGATCCTGCGTTGAGCATCTGCCCTCTGGTGGTCAGTGCACATCATAGTGACTGGTTGGATGGTTGGAGGACACTTAGCATATTAGCCTTTTATATATATAGACTAGAGGCCCGGTGCACAAAAATTTGTGCACTCGGGGGGGGGGGGGGGAGAGGGGGGTTCCCTCAGCCCGGCCTGTGCCCTCTCGCAGTCTGGGACCCCTCGGGAGATAACAACTTGCTGGCTTAGGCCTGCTCCTGGGTGGCAGAGGGCAGGCCCAATCCCTAGGTGCAGCCCCTGGTCGGGCTCAGAGCAGGGCTGATTGGGGAGTTGGGGTGCCGCCCCCTGTCATGCACAGAGCAGGGCGGATTGGGAGGTTGCGAT